TACTTCAGATTCTTTCCCCCACCGCATGCAATCAGCTTCTTGATTTTCAGATATTATTTTATAGCCTTATTTTTTTCCCTTGAGCTCCAAGACCTAACACTAAGGGGCACCAGAGAACTGAACTGCATCTGTTCAGATCCATCAGGACCCAGCTGCTGCAACTAATGTTGTAAGTTATTCACCATGCTAGGTGGAGAGGGAATGGGGCTTTGGGGGAAACATAACAGGCGAAACAACAGTTCTGCATGACACATTCTCTGTTACAGAAAACTGTCACTGGAAAAGCAAGGATGCACTCATTTCAGGAATGCTGAATGTCTTATTATAGTTTATCGCTAGGTGTTGAAAAAGAACTCACTCTATTTTTCCAGACAAAAGTTGGGAAATGTGTGAAAATATTGCATGATGTGAAAATGGATCCTATCAGTAGAACCAGTCCTCCCAAAAATAAAATGAAATCTACTACTTTAAATATAGCCTGCTGCAAGATTTTACAAAAAGAAGCGCTGCTTAGCAATTAGAAAATACATTTTTTCTTATATAAAGAATATACATTACAAAGACAAGACACGGCTCTCAAACCTGTTAAAATCGTCTGAAAGGCCTATATACAGCTCTTCAGAACTTACAATTTTGTATTGAAAGAAATCAAAGAAAAGCAAGAGACTAATGCAGGAAATTACTGTATGCGTGATATTAGGCAAACATTTAAGAACATTTACTTTGAAACAGTGAAGCCTTCTATTCTGACGAGTGTTTATTACCGCTAAAATGTTATGTCTAGAATTATTTTTGCTTGGTAAGCTAAAGTACTTTCACAAAGAAAACACATGATATGTAGGTTAAGCAATAGCTTCAAGCCTCTTGAATGTTGTGCATGCTCATTCTGTTAGACTTTGTCCTCAGTGCTCGATAAATTAGCTGTATCTTACATATTATGAGTCAAAGTCTTACATATTATGAGTCAAAGAATTAAAGAACGTCAGCTCTGATTGTATTGATCGAAGCACTGTATAGCAGAGCTGACACTGAACTACATTACTTCAAGGAGATCTGTCTGTGGAACATCTGGTGACTCCACCAGCTAGGGAGAGAGACTTCCATGAGTTCCTCACACTTGCTAAGCTTTGGAACACGAGTAATAAATATTCCCAATAAAAAGTGTCATTTCAAAGTGAAGCCAGTATTTTGCACCGCTAGAGTTATTTAGGATGAGTGATGACTTTGGGGACATACTTCTGTAATGATATTTTTGAGGAAAGTTTGTCCCTTTTCTTCACGTTCATATAATTCATTAACCTAGTTTAAATAAAATCCTGTTATTTAGATCAGATTTGTGATAACAAAATGTTGAAGGAGCTTTGAGAGAAAGCAGCTACAGTATATACTTCAGATTCTTTCCCCCACCGCATGCAATCAGCTTCTTGATTTTCAGACATTATTTTATAGCCTTATTTTTTTCCCTTGAGCTCCAAGACCTAACACTAAGGGGCACCAGAGAACTGAACTGCATCTGTTCAGATCCATCAGGACCCAGCTGCTGCAACTAATGTTGTAAGTTATTCACCATGCTAGGTGGAGAGGGAATGGGGCTTTGGGGGAAACATAACAGGCGAAACAACAGTTCTGCATGACACATTCTCTGTTACAGAAAACTGTCACTGGAAAAGCAAGGATGCACTCATTTCAGGAATGCTGAATGTCTTATTATAGTTTATCGCTAGGTGTTGAAAAAGAACTCACTCTATTTTTCCAGACAAAAGTTGGGAAATGTGTGAAAATATTGCATGATGTGAAAATGGATTTTGTGGAGAAGCCAAGTATATCTAAAAAATCCTAGCAGCTTGACTTTATTTGCTTTGATCCTAGACAAGTGTAAACAGAGGAACACAGACTCAGGAATTCATTCTTACATTAAGTTTCGGATGAGGTCTGGATACCAGCATTTTTTCATTAACAATTCTTAAAATTCCACTACGGAGATAAAGCACATTTCTAATTTCCCCGTGGATTGCAAAACTGCCTATCACCCTTTCATTTTCCCAACAGGACAACAGGAAAACAATACTTAAAAAAATAAATCAAGCCCGTTTGCCAGGTGGGGACTCCAAAACTGACTTCCTTCACCCCAAGTTTGGCTGTCAAATAGAGAATAATTATGCAGCCAGTGCCACATATATTAATAGAGCACATTCTGAAAATCTCAGACCTGATGTCAGGAACCTGTTGTTTATCCCAGGGTTGTTTGGGGTTTTTTTTTGGTCCTGTATTTCTGTTTCAGTCCCTCTATTCCACCACAAAATACATAACCGAACAAGCAAAGTACAATTCAATAAATGACACTACATGTTAGAGAAGTTAAGTTGTTCTGATTCCCTTTTAAAAGCTCGGTCATGGTTTTGCCCCAGAACAGAAAGCATTACAAAAATGCAGATACAGTACAGGGCCCAGTATGTCAAATCATTGCAATCAAAGCTCCAAGACCAAAATTAATAATGTACCATTAGCAGATGGTGTGAGCTGATTGACTGAGAATTGCAGAGATGCATTCTGATTTGAGTATTGTAGACTTTTTCTGATAATATTAGCACTTATTTCTGTGTCTTTAAGTAGTCCATCAAAATAAAATCCACAGATAACTTCTGTGCGGTGTAGAATTTGACTCATATATCTTTTAAGGCCAGATGAGACCATTATGATAATGCGCTTTGACCCCCAGCATAACACAGGGCATAGAACCTCGCTCAGCAATTCCTCCCTCGGGTCTGCGTCTTCTGTTTGAGGTATACCATCTCCTTTTGAAAGACATCCAGCCTTGATTTATTACTCAAAGTGATGGAAATTCCAGCACATTCCTTGGTAAGCTCACCCTTCAGTTAATGACAGCTGCAGTCAGAAAAGGTACAAGTTTTGTCCTCCTCTGATACAGTTTCGTTTCAGATTTCTTCCCACTACACCTTTTGAAGCTGAATTAGAGAGCTGTCAGGGATCTATATCAGCTTATAGACCATGGCCATGTTTGTTAAGAAATAAAGCTTTCTTTAACCAAATAATGGGGAAAAGCCACCTTTTGGGGTACATTGTGCACCTTGTTCAAGGGCCATTAGCCCTAAATGGTCCCTTACTTTATGATGGAGAAAGCCTCTAGAACAAGGAAAGGCATGGCCTCTAAACCTTCCCCCAGTCCAATGGAGAAATTAAAATATACGTCTTGGGTATGCTATGGCCAGACAGCATACCTGATGTCTCGAGAGGAAGACCTTGTAACTCCAGGTCTTCATCTGATAATGTTCAACCTCTAGCTGGCACCTTCTCGTCTTGTGCGGGACCCAAGTTTTTCTGTTGCTGTTACATTAAGGTGCGTCAGCAAGCAAGATGAAGGTAACTTAGGAGTGACCAAACAGTATGTTTATTTAAGCAAGAGACCTTGCTGGTTGGGGCTAGAAGGTGGTGGGATCTCTGCTGTGGGTCTGAGCGGAGATCATCAGCGATTCATCACCCAAATAGGAGAGTTAAGCCTGCTCTCTCTGTCTCTCTCTCCAGGCAGTGACACCTAAAAGGTGAAACACAAAGACTTGGCAGTATTTACCCAGCTCATGTGCTGGACCGGGGTTTTGCAAAACTTCTCTTGGGGGAACAGCTTGAGGTTTATGGGCATTATGCTTTCCAGCTCGCTGACTGGAAGACAGGCAGCTCTGCTCAGGCATTTTACTGCGGGGCCAAAACCTGCCAGGATCCAGCGCCTGGAGTTTCATATGCCATTTATGATTTGCTACGACAAGGACAGACACGGCGACATACCTCTCCAGCCACCATCCTGTGTGGACATGGTGTTTCAGGGCCACAAAGGGAAGGAGACCCTGAAGGAGAGAGGGCTGGAGGGTGGTACCGAGCAGTCCCTTCGGTGAGACCAGTAGAAAGAGTTGCACCGAGGAAGCCCTTTGGAGGGGCCATGTGGTCCCCAGTGCCTCTCCCACCTCCTCCTCCTCCTCCTCCTCCTCCTCCTCAGGCAGGAGGAGGCAGAGTTGCTGCTGCTGCCAATGCGCCAGGATAGAGAGATCTCGGCGCGGGAGGAGATGACGCAAAAGGCAGAGCTCCCCCCAAAAAAGTGTTTCTCCAGGACGAAGATGGCGGCAACTTAGCCCAGGGGCCCAAGATGCCTGTGCCCATCGGGGGCCCCCAGCCAGGCAGTTCCGCCCCGTGCGCCCGGGGCCCCCGCGCCCGGCGGCAGCAGCGGCGGCAGCCGCAGCCCATTGTCACCAGCAGCGGCGGCGGCGGCCCCGGCAGCCTCCTCCTCCTCTTCCTCTTCCTCCTCCTCCTCTTCAGCATCCTCGGCAGCGCTCCGGGAGCCCTGCAGCAGCGTCTCTCCAGTTAGAGCGGAGGGGGGAGAGGAGAAAGAGGAGACGGAGACAGCGGTGCAGGCATCTGTGCCGCGGCTCGGGGCTGAGGAAGAGGAGCAGCGGCGGCGGCAGGGAGGAAGAGGAGGCGAGGAGCCCTCCCGGAGCCGTCCGTCGGCAGCGGGGGACGCGGCATGCAGCTGTCCGGGGGCAGCGGGCTTTTCTCAGGAGGGAGATGGGGAGCTGCGATCTGACCATGCCTGGGTGAGAGGGGGAAAGGACCAGCCGCGCAGCCCCGCCACCACCAACTATCACCACTACCACCACCATCTCCTCTCCCTCCTCCTCTCTCTGCGTTATTGCTCTTATCTTCTCCACGGCACTCCGCGTTGGATGGACTGGGGCTGCTTCGTGTGGTGAGACCAAGGCAGAGCCACCGGCGAAACCCAACAGTATCTCAGAGGAAGAAAAAGAGGAAAGAAAGAAGAGGGAGAAAGAGAGAGGGGGGAGAGTGGAAGAGGGAGGGAGCGAGCGAGCGAGCGAGCAAGAGAAGGGAAGGCAGGCAAGAAAATCCCCCCAATCTTTTAAGTCAATGCATATTGTGGTGACACTGGCAAAGGAGCCCTCACGGTGGAGTCGGCCAGGGCTGTGCGTTCCCAAAATATGACCAGGGGTGCTTGGATGTGCAGTCGGCAGTATGATGACGGCTTAAAAATCTGGTTCGCACCCCGGGAGAACGAGAAACCCTTCACGGATTCAGAGAGGGCTCAGAAATGGCGACTGTCCCTGGCATCGCTCTTGTTTTTCACAGTCCTGCTCTCTGATCACTTGTGGTTCTGCGCCGAGGCCAAATTCACGGGGAC